CAGTAAGGATACTGAACATGAGATAACTACCCTCTTAACAGATTTTTAAGTGTACAATATAGTATTGTTATCTGTAGGCACAATGTTGTACAGCACATCTCTAGAACGTGTCTTGCATAACTGAAATTTTATACATGTTGATTAACAACTCCCCGTTTTCCCCTTCCCCTTGCCCCTGGCAGCCACCATTCTATTCTTTGCTTCTATGAGTTTGACTATTTTAGATACCTCATATAAGTGGAATCATGCAGTATTTGTCCTGTGACTGGTTTATTTAACTTAGCAAAAGTCCTCAAGGTTCATTCATGTTGTCACATTTGCAGGATTTCATTTTCTTTTAGGGCTGAATAATATTCCATTGTATGTATATACCACGTTTTCTTTATCCCTTCATATCTTTATTTCTTTTTCCATTCACAAGATTGTTTCCATATCTTGACTATTGTGAATAGCACTGCAGTGAACATCGGAGTGCTAATATTTCTTCAAGATCCTGATTTCATTTGTTTTGGATAAATCCCAGAAGTGGGATTGGTGGATCATATGGTAGTTCTATTTTTATTTTTTCAAGGAACCTCCCTACTGTTTTCTGTAGCGGCTGCACCATTTTGCATTCCCACCAACAGTGTACAAGGGTTCCAGTTTCTCCACATCCTCACCAACCTTGTCTTTTGTTCTTTTGATGATAGCTATCATAATAGGTGTGAGGTGATTCTCATTGTGGTTTTGATTTGCATTTCCCTGATGATTAATGATGTTGAGCATGTTTTCATATACCTGTTGACCATTTGTATGTCATTTCTGGAGAAATGTCTGTTCAAGTTTTTAGCCCATTTTTTAATTGGGTTATTTTTGTTTCTTTGCTATTGAGTTGTAGGAGTTCCTTATATATTTTTTGAGATTAATCCTTTATCAGATACGTGGTTTACAGATACTTTCTATTCCTGTGTTGCCTTTTCCCTCTGTTGATTGTGTCCTTTGCTGTGAAGAAGCTTTTTAGTTTGATGTAGTCCCACTTGTCTATTTTTGCTTTTGTTACCTGATTGCAAATATCTTTTCTCAGACTTTGGCTAGTCTTGTTATGGTGTCTTTTGACATATAAAAGTATTATGTATTATATTTTTATATGTATGTATATATGTGTAATATTTATTTTCTTTATGGTTTTTGCTTTTTTGTGTCATACTTGAGAAAGCCTTTCCCACATCAAGGTTATTAAAGATATTTTCTTCTTTAACATCTTAAAGCTGTGCTTTTGACATTTATTTTGGATGTATAATTGAGGTAGGAAAATTTTTCTCCATGTGATTAACCGTTTGTCCCAGTATCGTTCATTGAGTTCATTCTTTCCCCACTGATTTATAATGCTACTTCGGCCCTACACATCTCTGTATTCTGTTCTGTTGGTCTGTTTGTTTATTCCTCTAGTCTCATCTCTCTTAATTACCATGCGTTTAACAATAAGTCTTACTATCAGGTAGGGAAAGTTTCTTCCCTTGTTTTACTTACAGAATTTTCTCTGTATTGGCTCTTTGCTATTCGATGTGAATTTTAGGATCAGAGTTTTGAGTTTCCCAAAAATCCCTGTAGAGATTTTGATCAGAAGCATTATAGAGGTTGAATTTATTGAAATCATAGGTTAATTTGGAGAAAATAGGCGTTATATACTAATTTTTCCCACCTAGAAATATGGCCTATCTCTCCCATTTTAAAAAAATGAGCTAAAAGAAGTCCGTTTAGAGTACGTGTAAGTATATTTTATTATATCTTTTCCTAGTAAAACTTTGTCATTTTTGTTGCTATACAAATGGATCTTTTTTCCTGTTGCATAACGTAAGTGATTATTACCAGTGTGTAGGAATATTACAGATTTTTATATTAATCTTGTATTTAGCAACTTTGCTGATTTATTAGTTCTAATACTTCTAAATAATTTACCTGTAGATTCTTTTAGATTTATTATGTAGAAAATTATTTTGTTTTTCAATACAATTTTGTCTCTCATTGCTTCATATCGTCCTTGATTTATTGTATTAACTAGGATCTCTATCCAATATTAAATAGCAGTCACCTTTTTCTTGTTCTTGATTTTAGTGGGAATGCGTGTAAAATTTTACTATTATGCATGATGTTTATTAGAGTTTTTTAACATAGATATTCTTTATCTGTTCCATGATACTATCACTCTGAATTTAAGATTTCCCCAGTAAATGTTTCTCCTCAAATCAGAATCTTTTGTGGAATTAAAAATATACATACGTCTGGTTCCATTCCTAGATATTCTGATATCTCAAGTGTGGGCGTTTGTATTTTTAAAAGCATTGTGGGTGATTAGAGGTTTTTTGTTTTTGTTTTCATTATGGAGGTTGAATTTTATTGAATGGTTTTTCTGCATCTGATGAAATGATCATATTTTTTTTCTTTTAATTGATAATATGATGTCAATAATGGATTTTCTGTTGTTGAACGCATTCATACATTTCTGGAGCAAATGAGTAGGCTACCAGTAGTAGCCCAGGCATGATACAGGATGAAAGGAAGTACAAGAATGATGATAATGACAGTAATAATGGAAAATAGAGAATTGTAATGGGAGATGGAAGGGAGAAAGCATTTTAAAAGGGAATTAACTTTGATATTAAAAAATTTTAAATCTGAAGTTTTGTGATTGCATACCCTATCAGTGAAAAAAATTGAGCACGTACTCCCAGTACTTAAAAACCATGCATATATTTTACGGTAGTGATGCTTTATGTACCTTATAAAACATGTAAAATTTAAGTGAGATAAAGATGAAATAGTTACTTTAAAAATTAATTTTGCTGGGGCTGGCCTGGTGGCGCAAGTGGTTAAGTGCGCATGCTCTGCTTCGGTGGCCCGGGCGCGCACCGATGCACTGCTTGTCAAGCCATCTGTGACGGC